TCCCAGTGAATGATTTTTCAACTGTCCCTTTTTCTTTGTGTCACTCTGTTTCAAAGTTCCAGGTGTGAGTATTTGATAGGCCAAGCCTGGTGTCTAACCCAGCTGCTGGGGGTGGGGAGAAAGATAGCCAGGCCCTTTCTCTTCCACAAAGGAGGTAGGGCCCAGCCCGGACTCACAGTGCCCCTCTCCCCACAATAGGTAAGGTGTTGATACTTGGCAGCCAAAACCATGGTGTGAGATTGTCCTGGGAACCGATTGGTGGAAATATGGCTGTTGGCAACATGAAGACAAGTGCTGAAGCCTTTTGTTTTTTTGTTTTTTTGGCAGCTGGACAGTAAGGGGATCCAAACCCTTGACCTACTGAAGCCTTTTATGGACTTTTCACCAAAAGGTTACTGTCAGGCTCTGAAGAGTTAGGTTCTGGTCATTAGGATTCCTGGCAGCTGTTGACAGAGGTCAGCTTGCCCATCAGGCAAGGAGAGAACACCCTGGAAGTGTGAGATCTCAGGGATAGATGTAGAGGGCAGGTGTGAGGGCTTGTATAAGTGCAGCCATTGTATTTCAAAATAGGGCCTGCCAACATCAGAGCAGGAAAAGATTTAGGTATCCAGAGTCAACATTTTCAGTGTCAGAGATTGGTTTTATTACCATTTTCTTCCCCAGAGACATCAGATTTTGATATTTTACCTACCAAACCATTCTTTCTTAGTTATTAATCAAAACTACATTTAAATGTATAACTTTTGGAGTTTTTTTCCTGCCAGCTGGCCGGAACAGGGATCCAAATCCTTGACTTTGTTATAACACCACGCTCTAACTGAGCTAACGGGCCAAGCTACATTTATAACATAAACAACGTGACAGTGGTGAGAAGATAATTGTTATGTGTCCTGAGCCTGCTGTAAACATCTCATTTAATCTCCCCAACATCCCTGTAAGACATTCCATTACTAACCTCATTTTATAGCAGGTTTACATAACCAATGCAATACATCTTGAGGGAATAGGTGTTTCTTTTAGGTTTTGAGAAATATTTAGAATATCTCTGAATCCCCACTTTGGATTTGAGAACAAGTCACATGAGACTCTAGGTTGGGAACAACTTATCTTGTAACAGGTATTCAAACAAGTATTCAAAAATATTCAAATTTTAACACATTAACAGCAAGACTGAATATACTTAAAAAACGATCGAATTGTACCTTTCAAATGGAAGAATTTTACAGTATGTGAATTATATATAAATAAAACATTCATATATATGAGAATACATGTGTGGGTATACATGAATTAAAACATAGCAAATAATTTCATATTTTCCTTGTCTGTAAGGTATATATACCCAAAGTGAGCACTGTCCTTTGAATGCAGTGAAATGCTCATCAACTGCCAAGCGTGAAGTTGGAACATATCTTGTTAACTACTGATTCCAGATTTTAAATACACCTGTCATAGGCTCAAGCTTACCATTGCTTCTGTTTTGTTTTGTTTTTGCACTTGCGTCGCCAACACACATGGTTTTGAAAATTTTGATAGCTCATAATTTTGTTGAGAGGACAGCCGTTTTCTTTGCTCCATAATTACAAAACATTTTCATTTTTAGATTTACAAAGATCAATTAGAATGACCGATCCAGTGAATATTAAAAATTTCTACAGCATTCTCCAATAACCTTTCTACACAGTTGCCTTCAGCATGTCTCCACTTATGAACTATACCAAGTAATTTTAGCACATTGGCACCATAGAGATGAAAAAATATTGTCACACCACCTGTTAGCAAAACAGGATGGTCCAGAATTTTGTCAGAAAATACTGTGTGATGAAATGCTTTCTGTTGGATGATTTAACTAGATAAAAACACCATATTTCTTTTTTTGTCTTTAGAAATATATTGTTCACTCACCAACTTGAATTTGAGAAAAATTGATCTAGGAAAGATTTTGCTTACATGACTAATTTCACCATCATCCTTAGTGACTGGAGTGCTGCTATGTGTCTTTGCATTTATTTTCTGATATGTCTAATAAGTAAAATGTCTTCCTCTGTCAATTTTCTTCTCTTGTCATTATGGATGGAAAATGAAAAATCCTGAATTCTCAACCAATGTCTCCAGACTTATGAAAAATCATACAACACTTTGGGAAATGCAAAAAGAAAACTGAAAGATGCTGTAATTGTGATGGTTTATTTCACTATGCATCTTCCTTCTAGGCAATACCATCATTCTTCCATTTCCTTATTTCAGTTTTGTTTAGCATAGTTGAGAATAATTGATGAGTAATATGAAATAATTTTTAGGATTATGAAATAGCAAAGTGTTTCAAGATATTGGAAAAATAAGTTCATCAAGATCTCAAAATGTGTTTTAAATTTATGAAAGAATCCAGTGAATCCTTACAGTAATTGCAAGATAGAATGAGTTTCACTCATTTTTTAAAAAATAAGTAAATTTTCTCATTCTTTGGAAGACCATTAAGAAAGAATAATAGTCATAAAATATCAATCCTTACAAATAGTTAGAATTGCTCAAAAAAGAAACTAAATTTGGGTCCAATGGCTTCTGATGGTATACTACAAATTAAGTTTATATACTCAGCTGGGGAGAGGATGGCAAATGTGTGTGGCTAGGGGGTCAGTGCTTGGGACTCGTGGTCTGGCTTCCTGCTGAATGGTGAAAGTCCCTCCCATTCATGAGAAAGCTTGGGGGTCCAAAGAGCAGCAGACTAGGAGCCAGGGGGACCTTCCATATATGGTCTCTTGATCTAACCAGTAGTCCTTGGGGATTAGAACATGCGGAGTGTCATCTTCTGCTTGTGTTTCTGTGAGCCTAACTCATCCAGTTGGAGGCCCCTAAGGGCAGGGATGATATCCCATCAGGCTGGGATTTCCATGGTGGGAATGATAGTACCTCCTGCTTCTATACAACCACTCCTGTGCTGCACCATTTATTGGATTAGCAGAGCATGGGCGAGGCAGCATGGAGGGAGCAGGCTTTGGAGACAGCTGGACCCAGGTTTGAATCCTGGCTTTGCCACCATTCACCAGCCCAGTGACTTTAGCAAGTCACCTCACAACTCTGAGTCTCTGTTTCCTCATTTGTGAGGGAAGTGACCAGACCAGGTGAGATGCCCACATCCTCAGGAAGAGCTTGCCCTGGATCTGCCCTTCTTCATGCCTGGGTAGGCAAGCATTACAGTGTCTTCTTTGCTTTGTCCTGAGTGTTACTGTGGGGTGGGGGTGGGCAGGCTCAGTGCGGCTGGGCCTCCACCCTACAGCCCTCCCCCCTGCTGCCATTATCAGCTGTGTCCAGATGGTCACAGGCTCCCTAATCTGGGATAATCGGCCAGTCAGAGCTCAGTTGGGACCCAGGCCTTTGTGCTGGGCTGTGGTGGGCCAGCCCCAGCTGGAGAGATCCTGCAGGCTGGGCCCTGGGGCTTTGGAAGATGGGGAGGGGCATGGGGCTGGCCCTGTGCTAGAAGATGTGAGCAGCAGATGACAGCTCCTCTTTAAAAGGCAATTCGAGCGCAAATGGGAACCTGCAGATGGGGCCTGGCCAGCTCCTCCAGGCTCAGAGCCACAGGCACAGAACTTGAATGAATGGCTGGGCCTCTGCCTCACAGAATCTGTCTGTGGTATCTTTTGTTCCCTTTCTCTCCTCCTCTGAGCTCACCCCTCCCTGTGTTGCTGTCACTGGAGCCCCAGGCTACACCAGATGCTTACAATGGCATCAGGGGCATTGATGTTGGGGATCTCACTTGGCCAGGCGCAGAGGCAGGATGGCTGGGTTCTCAGAAGCCTGTGGCTCTGGTGCCCTCCACCCTAGGCCTGCAGTTTGCTATGAGCCTCGCCCTTATGGCTGCTCAAGGATCCACAACTGTTTTTGTTCTGTGTTGTTTCAGCTTCTTCCATGTGTGGGAGAGCCCCACCTCGGCCCCAGCTTCTAGTAATGAGCCTGCTTTGGAATCCTGTTTTTAAGGACTTTATCTCACAGGGTCTGAACCCCAGATCTTGGGCTTCTGCCTTCCTCAGTGTTCTTCAGTTATGGTGTTTCTTGTGCTCAGATGTGTTTGCTTGTTTATAAGCTTATGCCTCTGTCTTTAGTTTTCTGGTTTTTAACTCTTTCTATCATTGTTAGTTTTTGAATGGGAGAGGGAGGTTTAGAGAGAACCATCCTGACCAGAAGTGTCTCATAGGTTCTGAAGCTTCATGAAATCTTAAGTCACAGACTCTACCCTTACTAAGTATGTAACCTTGGGCAATTCTCTTCATCTTTTTAAGGCAGTTCCTTATCTGTAAAATGCAGATAATAATAACTAGATCACTAAAAGTTTTTTTAAAAAGTGCTGATAATATCAAATTTAATGACAGTAATTACCCGTGGGAAAGGGGTAGGTTTAGACACAGGCCTAGAAAGGCACTTGTAACCATCTATTTCTTCAGTTAGGTGATGGAAACACAGATATTTATTATTCTTGAACTGTTTCTCATATACATATATATTCTTTTTATGCACAAAAATATTTCACAGTTTAAAAAAAAATTGCCCACACTGCTATTATGAAAGTAAATTAGGTAATATATGTGCTACGGTCTGAATGTCTGTGTCTGTCCAAAGTTCATATGTCGGAACCTAATACCCAATGAGATAGCATTAAGAGGTGGGGCCTTTTGGGAAGTGATTAAATCACTTAGGAAGTGAGGCGGAGCCCTCATGAATAGGATTAGTGCCCTTATAAAAGAGGTTGAAGGGAGTTGCCTTGTCCCCTTCTGCCATGTAAAGACACAGCAAGAAAGCACCAGCTATGAAGCAGAGAGCCCTTACCAAACACCAGATCTGCCGGCACCTTGATCATGGACTTTCCAGCCTCTAGAACTGTGAGAAATAAGCTTCTGTTATTCATAATTACTCAGTCTAAGGTGTTTTGTTATTGTAGCCTGAACAGACTAGGACTTTATGAAAGTGCTTTGTAAAGAGTAAAAGCAGGGACCTGATATTAGGGAACGCAGACATTAGGGAACACAATCCCAACAAGGTTTTATTTCTGTAAGAAAAGGAGGCAATAAGTTAAGGGGCTATTTACATGGAGGTACCACAAGGGGAGGAGAGTGGTGCACCTGAGTTCTCCCTGCCTCTCTGACTTCTGGCTCAGCCTGTCCCAAGTCTGAGTCACCTGCCCAGGGTCTGGATGATGGTCACACAGCCATGGGAGCTGGTGCAGCGCTGCAAGGATGGCTGGACCTCCACCTGTCCAGTGCTGGGGTCAAAGGTGAAGACTCTATCGGTGCTTTCCCCGCGTTCATCCCGCCCGCCAAGGATGTGGACCTTTCCATCACATACAGTCACGCCACAGCTCTCCTGGGTGGACAAACAGAAAGACAATCCAAGGATGGGTCCAACTGGGCGCTCCCTCTGCTCCTAGCTGACCAGGCCAGATAACAGAAACTTGCCCTACAGACAATGACAGGCAGTCAGGATGGCAGAGAACAGGAAATTAGATAGACCTGAGTTCAAGCTCCAGCTTGATTCTTACTAAATGAATGGCCTTAGACAAGTCATTTCTGGTCTTTGGGCCTCAGGTTCCTCATCTGCAGAGTGAGGAGAAGAATAGTACCTCTTCATAGGGTTCTCTTAACGGTTAATGGGTTGAGCATGTAAAGCATCTTACATAATGCCTGGAACATAGGAAGCATACCAATGATAATAACTACCACCACCACCATCTTAGGATCTCAGACTCAGAGAAGACAGAAATCTCATGCTCTTGGGGTCACTGAAGGTCAGAATTGGCAGGGACCACCAGTCCAACCACACCTCTAATATAGTCTCTGGAGTTTCAGGAGATGGAGACAGAAGGTGGGGGTGGCAAGGCACTGCAGGGCTTCCAGAATCTGGGCCTCCTCTGATATCACTGGAGCAGGGGTACTTAGCAAGTCCCTTGCCCACCCCCCACCTGATAATAGGCTACCAGCTGGTGGGCTTCGGGGCAGGAGAGACAGTAGGGTCATTTAGACCAAACCCCTCACTCAAGGTTACAGTGTTTGGGACTGGGGTTCTAGGCTCCGCCTTAACATGGCCTAATTGGTAGACTTGGGCCACATCCTCAACCTCTCTAAGGTCTATCTCCTCATCTGTGAAATAAAAGATTGATTGTCACTGTGAGGACAAAGTTAAAGGAATGTAAGACCATGTAGCATAAAGTCACACAAAATACTCACTACCTGCAAGATCCAGAGCCTTAGAAGTGGGCTCCACTCTCCTGAATGGAACCAGTGCCCGGCCTGTTCCCAGGAACCTCCACTTACCACAGGGCTAGGGAGGACAGCTGCCTCCCCCCAGACATCTGTGCCAGGGTCATAGGTGAAGATTTTGCTCAAGAGGCCTCCCATCACGTAGATGGTGTCCTCGAGGGAGACAGCCTCAAGACACCGCTGTGAGAAGGGTGCTGGCGACCGCAGACCCCACCGGTCCTCCTTGGGGTCAAAGCACTGCACCTGAGGGTCGCGAGAAGCAGCGATGGCAAAGCCTCCCCTGACTGTCCTGTCGCCCACATCCTGCAACTTCTTTCCTGGGGCCTCATTCAGCATGACAAAATCCTGCCAAGGCCCACCAGGCCTGAGCCAGTGTCTGTGAGGGTAGAGGAGACTCACTGTCCCTGCCCTCAGGTGCTCTCAGTCTAGTTCTAAATTTTGTCCCCTATCCTTGAACTCCCTTTGTTGAAAGCCTCCTCATCTTTCAAGGTCCAGCTGAAATGCCACCACATCCTTAAAGTCTTCCCTGCTGTTTCCTTCCCCCCCTCCCCCCCCCCCCCCCCAGTCTCAGGAACAGTCTCTCCTTTGATGGAGGAGAACACAGTTGCCTTATACATGAGCACATCATATCAAGCTGGGAGAGGTATATATTCCAGGAGATAGGGGTGCCATGTGCTACAGAGGGTCCAGAGCAGGCCCCCCACTGAAATGTGTTCCTGGCTGCAGACACTGTCAACTCTCTTCTCTCTTCTGGTGCTCTGAGGTCATGACAAGATTCCAGCTGAGGTGTCTTGCAGCCCCATTCCAACAGCTGTCTACTGGCCTTTCAGGCTCATGGTGTTTATGATGTTCTTCTTAACAATCGCTGAGGGTGCCTACCTGCACCTAGCTGGCTGCTCACCTTTACTCCTATTTCCTCAATCGTTTCCTTGGATACCCCCCCAGAACAAATCAGCGCTGCAAGAGAAAGTGCTAAATGGGGCCTCCTACCCCACCCAGCTCCTAGAAGGTTGGCTGGAGGAGTGGGGTCAGGGCATAAGGAGGACAGGGATCCTAATTTGGGAGTGATTCAGGTCCCAGGACCACAAGCCTGTAAGGCCATCAGGAGAGGGAGGGAGCTGCCAGGGTGGAAGACTAATTTTTATTCACAAAAAGCCTAAATGTCCAACAACAGCAAATTACATCAGTAGACTATGGCTTATCCACCCGGTAGAATATTACACAGACATGGATGGCTGTGAATTTCCAAGCATGGAAAGTGCTCATACTTAAATGAGAATAAAAAGCAGAATGCAAAATTTTACTAACAGTGAGAACACAAAACTAAAACAGAAAAGTGAAAGTCAATTCAGTGGAAGCCTGGAATGCGCTGCACCAAAATATCAATGGTACTGCAGTTATCCTTAGGTGGTGCGATTATAGGTGGCTTTTTTCTTTCTACTCCGTGTTTTCTAAATTTTCAGTCAGGACTATATGATTTTTTTGAATGCAGGTAAAACATTTTAACTAATCCCACCCCTACCCTCACTTAATTCTAAAAATTTCTGCTGTGCTGCTGATCCACCATGTGGCCTTGGGGTCATTTATCTGAACTCATTTCCTTGTCGGAAACATGGGGGTGAATCCTCTGGGCTGTTGAGGAATTAAGTGAGAAAACGAACGAGGACATGAAAGCGCCCAGCTCTATGCCTGGCAGAGAGCAGCCTGTTCCCTGCAGCCTCCAGTGCCCACCAGTGCCCCAAGGCCCGCACCCACCTTGTCGGTGTTGATGCCATCCTGCCCGGCGCCCCCGATCACGTAGAGCTGGCCTGCGCAGGCTGCCACCGCCGCAGAGCTCACAGCCTCCGGAAGGGGCGCGGCAGCCGCCCAGGTGTTGAAGAAGGGATCGTAGCGCTCCACACTGCACAGGCGCTGCAGGCCGTCAAAGCCACCCACCGCAAACAGCTGTGGATGAAGACACGGGCAGGGGGGTTGGGAATCAGGGCCCACCTCTGCCCCACTGCTGCAGTCTGTGAGCAGGAAACTGTCCCCACCCCAACTTCTGGGCCAAATCGACCCTGGGGACATCCCAGCGCTGTCACCACCTGGGCGGCCTCCACCCAGTTGCTGAACCTCCTTGAGCGGATTTCCTCTCCTTAGCCAGGGATAGTGAGACTGGTCTCCAGGCTGGATACTGAATGCAGATCAGATCTGTAAAATTCCTGGCTCCAAGCTGATGCTTAATAGTAATAGCTAGTAGTTTATGAAGGATTCAAAGACCCACTTTTATTTGCAATTCTGAATTTGGGATAATTGGCAAATCTTTTTTGCCCTTAGTGGCAGAGTAAAGATCCAAACCTAAATTGTTTGGCCCCAGAATCCACACCCTTGACCACTAGTCAGTACTATTACAGTGATTGCTATTATCATTATTAGCATTATTATGTAACCTTGGGCAAGTCCTTTTCCTTTTTGGGGCCTCAGGTCTATTCTTACAAAGGGGGTCTTAGAGAGCCTTCCCCCAGAATATACATAGGTCTGTACTTTGGATCCCAGAGCAGCAGCCACAGAGTGTGCCTACCTGTCCCTGCACGACTGCCATCTTGTGCCTCCACCTTCCCTTGTGCAGGGAAGCTACCCTGATCCAAGTGTGCAGATGGGAGCTAAACATCCACATATCACGGCTGTTGATGTGGCCTCCTGGGGAGAGAGAACCAGCTGTTACCCCTAGGTCCTCTTGTTATTTTTAGCATTCCCAAATAACTAGAAACAAGGGCCCCCAGATCCAAAGAAGGGTGAATGGCAGACAGGAAGGATTTCCCCTAAGCTGGTGTAAGACACTGGGCCTGTGGCCCAGACATTGTGCTTTGAATGAATGGTGAGAAAGTCTGAGTTAGGACTTTTGAGGGGAGAGGCCTGACAGATTCAGAAAGAAGGAACTGATCCTCACTGGGTCCCTTGTGGTGGTATGCTCAGGGAAACAAAGGAGGACACTCTACTACAGATAAAGAGTACCCAAAAGAAGCATCAGCAATGTGCTGGGGTCCAAGGGAAAGCAGAACCACCTGCACTGGTAGGGGAGAGAGGTAGAGGGTGAACCAATAATCCTCCCTCACTTCTGCTTTCACCTTCATGATTTCATTTCTGTTCCCATCCCTCCAGGAGGTACTGGGATTATTATACCCAGTTTACATAAAGGAAACTCAGATGAGGCTTAGAAATCAGGAATGACCTGCTGAAGATCACATGGCCTTTTGTCAGAGCAATGACCAGAACCAGAACCAGAACCACTGACCATTGCTAGCCCCCAAGAGCAGCATCAGTGCTGCTGAAAGACAAAACACACCCTGTGGAGCCAGGCACTGGGGAGGCAGACTGTGGACTCTCCCTCGCCATGCCTGGCTATCCTGGGGATCCTGACTGGGTACTCACGTCTCAGGAGCAGCTTCCCCTGGGATAATCCTGATTGTACTCCTCAGCCTGAGCCTGTGGCCAGAGCCAAATCTATATTTGGTATCCCCCACCTCTGTGTATTCCCAATGGCACCCAGCAGAGGCCCCACATGTTGCTCAGAGGCCATCAGTGGCCTTGGATAAATTGTCCATGGTAATGTGTGCCCTCGATGGTCTCTGAGGCCTCCCCAGCTCATTCTCCTGTTCCTTACCCTTTGCAGGCATGCATGGTTCACTACAACATTAAATACAGTCTACCTAGGCCCAGAATCAAAGCCTCCCTGATTTGACTCCTGCTTCATCTGCAATAGCTTCCCCTCGTCTTCTGGATACACTCAACATGTGCTTCAGAGCCCTGAGTGCCCGGGGTTCCTTTCTGCACATCCCTGCCCTCATGCCTTTGTCTATACTGTTTCCTTCGACTTTCAAGGTCCAGCTGAAAAGTTATCCCTTTCATGAAGTTGAGCCAGATTCCCTGAGTGGGATTCCAGATGATTTGGGGACTCTGAGAGTTTCCATCACATTCTGCCTGGTGGTAAATTGAAGTCTCCCCCTCTCCAGGGCAGTAGGGACTGTGTTTTGTTCTATGAGTTTCTAGGGCGTGAATGTCAGGGAAGGCACAGTTTGTTGGAATCAAACAGATTTGTGTTCCTCCTAGATTTGCCATTTTTAAGACAATGGGGAAATTCTTAACCTCTCTGAGCCTGTTTTCTCATCAGTAACATTGGCTTGTAGGGGGGGGTTAAATAATAACGAATGTAAGCTTCTTAGCGTAATGTCCAACACACAGCAGGCTAGAGAGAAGTTATTAATGCTAATATGAATTGAAGCTGACATTGTGTAATAAAGGGCAGAATCACTCCAGTGATGGGTTCTGCTGTACTACAAACCACTCCAGCCAGTAGGTTATAAGGAAAAATCCTGCCCCCATCTCCTGATTGGAGGGAAAAACTAAAGAGGTGGTGTGTGGAAGGCAATGAACCAATCCCCTGGGCCCGCCAGCCCGCCCTCACCGGAGACGTAGATGTCATTACGAAAAGCACAGGCTGCGAACTCTGAGCGCCTGTAGCCCGGCAGGCTGGGCAGCGGGGTCCAGCGCCGACTCTCTGGGTGGTAGGAGTCTGTGAAGGGCAGCTTCAGAAGACCTTTGCGATCACAACCACCGATGACCACGATCACTTCGAAAGCACAGGCTGCGAACTCTGAGCGCCTGTAGTCCGGCAGGCTGGGCAGCGGGGTCCAGCGCCGACTCTCTGGGTGGTAGGAATCTGTGAAGGGCAGCTTCAGAAGACCTTTGCGATCACAACCACCGATGACCACGATCACTTCAGCTAAGTCCATGAATCTGGCGTGGGGATAAACCAATGCCTGGTGACAGCACCCTCTTGCTGATCATAGAGTAGGGTCCTGCTGCCCTTCAACGCTCTCTGCCCTCTCCCCCGCGCCGCTGGACACTGCCATATCCAGCCTTCCCTCTGGCTATTAATGGGAAGAGGGTCATTAATTCTTACTCCTCTGAGGCTTTGTGCTTAGTGTAAGAGATACAAGTGGTAAGATAGTGTAGTCCCTGTATTATATCCCTGGGGAGAGACAGACCATGTTGTTATACTACTCCACCCATAGCCTCCCGGTCTGGCATTCCGGGGTGGAAGTAAGCCTCTTCCATTTTTTTCCTAGGCCCCTGCCTAGTCTGAGCTCCTGGAGGGCAGAAAGTGTTTCCAAATCACTCCCAAGTCCCAGTCACCCAGCACAGGACCTGCACAGAGTAAGCACTTATAATTATGGATGACGGACAAGAGATAGAATGTGCGTCGGGTGTGGGATCACTACATCTCCTCAATTGGAGTGTTAGCTTTTCAAGGGCAGAATTCCCAGCACAGAGCCTATGAAATGTTGAATGAATGACCGAATTTCATTCAAGAGGTACAACTAAGTGCATTAAAGGATGCTGAAAGAACGAGTGAGGGGCTGAGAACGCGGGAATAACGGAGGGCGGAGGCCATACCTCCGCGGCCGAGTCCGCAGCGCGCCTGCCTCGCGGCCCAGGATGAAGCAGGCGCGGGCCTCGAGCAGCAGCGGGCGGCACTCGCCGCAGGCCTGCAGCAGCTCGTCGGCCTCCACCTTCTCCAGGAAGTAGGCGGGCGCCAGCAGCGGCAGACGCACGTGCTCCAGCAGGCGCCGCAGCTGCCCGCGGCGGGCCGGCGCGTCGTGGCGCACCCAGCGCATGGCCGCCTCGAATACGGCCTCCTCGCGCGCCACGCCCAGCGCG